TGTAGGGAGACAGAATGGGCTCCTAAACAACATGAGTTTCCAGCCTTAAAAAACAATGAAATTATGGGATTTGCCAATAAATGGATGRAACTGGAGAATATTATGCTAAGGGAAATAAGCCAATCCCAAAGAACCAAAGAACAAATGTTTTCTCTAATATGCAGATGCTAATTCACAATAAGCAGGGTCAGGAAAAATAGAGGTATTTTGAACTAGAGGAAGGGGAGCGAAGGGAGGGGAGGGGGTTTGGGAGTAGGAATGATAGTGAAATGAATCAGATATTATTATCCTATATGCATATATGATTACACGACTTATGTAACTCTGCATTATATACAATCKGGCAAATGAGAAGTTATACTCCATTATGTATGATGTGTCAAAATGCATCTACTGTCATGTATAACTAATTAGAACCAATAATTTAAAAAAAGAATATGAGTTTCTCAGGGATATCTCCAAGTAATCATTAGATGATCAATAAATATGCAAAGAATAAATGAAAGCACTAGAAGATGCTTAGTAAGCTAAGGGGGTCAGTAAAGACTGTCATTAGCCCAGCTTCCGGTCCAGGYAATGAGTAAGAGGCCAGATTGGTGCAGTCATCACTCAAAAGTTAGTTTAGGCTGGGCATGGTAGTGCACACCTGTAATCCCACCACCTTGAGAGGCTGAGGTAGGAGGATTGCAAGTTTGAGGTCAGCCTCAGTAATTTAGCAAGACCCTAAGCAACTTAGCAAGACTCTGTATCAAAATGAAAAATAATAATAGCACTGGGGATGTAGCTCAGTTATTGAGTGCTCCTGGGTTCAATCCCCAATTCAAAAAAAAAAAAAAAAAAGTTAGTTTAGGAGTGTGTGTGTGTGTGTGTGTGTGCGTAATTTTTTTTTTAAGTTGTCAATGGACCTTTATTTTATTTAATTACATGCAGTGCTGAGAATCTAACCCAGTGCCTCACACATGCTAGATGAGCGCTTTACCACTGAGCCACAGCCCTTGTCCTGCCCTAACATTTCTTGTCTGTATTTTGGTCAAGAAATACCAAAACTAAAAACAAACAAACAAAAAAATCACTCTCCTTTCATTGCAGATCCCATCTAACACAAAATAGAAATCACCAAGGTGCAAGTAACAAACTGCATAAAGGTCAAGTCCAATTCTGAACCAAAGCTCAGTAGGAAACTAGTACTAAAATCTAAGAAAAAACCCATCAGTCACAAAAAACAGCTACAGATAATTCCACTTGTACACCCAGCACCTAACTCTGTACCTTAAATGCTAATCAATTCAGAAAAGATTATTTCTATAAGGTCTTTGAATGTGGTTTTAAGGGGGAAAATAAAGTAACAATAATAAAATGAACAACTACAAGAAGGAAAGATAACAAAACAACCGTAAACTCTCCTTTCTCTCTCACACACACAAATATGAATRACCTAGTTTATAAATCAAAATATTTTCACAGAATGTCGGCTATAAAAATCTTAAAAGATGAACTGCAACACTTTCAAGGGACAGCTATTACTTTAACCTTGTGTTCTGATAAGTTCATTAGTTACACATCACACTGGTGAAACTTCCTAAGATTAGGGATTAAACATTGAAATTCTCTTCATCATTTCATTGCCTTCTAAAAATAATTATCCTCTGGCTCACCATTTTCTACTGCAGTTCGTACCCAAGGATTTGTGTTTTCATACAGGGTAAGGTTAAGTTTGGATAAAAAAATGGCACAATTTAGCAGGGCGCAGTGACACATGCCTTTAATCCCAAGCATTTAGGAGGCTGAAGCAGGAAGATTGCAATTTGAGGCCAACCTCTGCAATTTAGTGAGGCCCTAAGGACATAATAAGAYCTTGTCTCAAAATAAAAAACAAACAAGGCTGGGGATGTAGCTCAGTGCTTCAGCGATCTGGGTTCAATCCCCAGTACCAAAAAATTGGTACAATTTTTGAYGCTAAAATAGAAAAGATTGAAATACGATCATGTTTAACAAAAACTTCTGATCTACTTCAGAGCAACCAATATGATTGGAATTGAGTCTCACCTTCTTTTTGGGAACTTGAAATATACACAAGAAAAAACAGGTAAATAAGTAACAGTTTTAACATAATCTTAAGTGTGTGAAGTCACAGGTATATGATGCAAAATATTTAAACTTAAAAAGTAATATAGAGGGGCTGGGGTTGTGGCTCAGTGGTAGTATGCTTGCCCAGCATGCATGAGGCACTGGGTTCGATCCTCAGCACCACATAAATGTAAAATAAAGATATTGTGTCCACTTAAAACTAAAAAATAAATATTTAACAACAACAATAAAAAAAAAGTAATATGGAGCTGGGCATGGTGGGGCAAACCTGTAATCCCAGTGGCTTGGGAAGCTAAGGCAGGAGGATCATAAGTTCAAAGCCAGCCTCAGCAATGGTGAGGCACTAAGCAACTCAGTGAGACCCTGTCTCTAAATAAAATACAAAATAGGGGCTGGGGATGTGGCTCAATGGTTGAGTGCCCCTGATTTCAATCCCCAGTACCAAAAAAAAAAAAAGTAATATGGAAATTTAAGAAGAAAATACTATCCGATATTCAGTTTGGCAATTTAACTTTCAAACTTAAACATAAATTTGCCATATAATTCAGCAATTCCACTTATACATTTATACAATTCCACTTATACTTATACATTTCCTAACCCCCCCAAAGAAAGAAAAAATATGCCCATACAAAGATTCTTATATGAATATTTATAGCAGTATTACATAAAAGTCAAAAAGAGGAAACAGGGCTGGGGCTGTAGCTCAGTGGCAAAGCACTTGCCTAGTACATGTGAGGCCCTGGGTTTGATCCTTAGTACCACATAAAAATAAATAAATAAAATAAAGGCATGCTGTCCATGTACAACTACAAAATTCTTTTTTTTTTTTTAAAGAGAGAGTGAGAGAGGGGAGAGAGAGAGAGAGAGAGAGAGAGAGAGAGAGAGAGAGAGAGAGAGAGAGAGAGTTTTTTAATATTTATTTTTTAGTTCTCGGCGGACACAACATCTTTGTTGGTATGTGGTGCTGAGGATCGAAYCCGGGCCGCACGCATGCCAGGCGAGCGCGCTACCGCTTGAGCCACATCCCCAGCCCCTACAAAATTCTTTTTTAAAATGGAAACAATCTAAATGTCCGTCAACTGATTAATGAATAAACAAAATATGTATATCAATATAAAAGAATACTATTTGACAAGAAGAAGAAATGAAACACAATATCATATTCTAACACACATAAGCTTCAAGAACATTTTCCTTGGTGAGAGAAGCCAGATACAAAAGACCACCTATTGTATGATTTCATTTGTCTGAAATGTCCAGAAAAGTCAAATCTAAAAAGAGAGAAAGCAGGTTTATATTTTCTTTGGGTCAGAGGCAAGAAAGAGGAGTGATTATACACAGGCATGAGGGATCTTTTGAGGATAACAAATATTCTGAAATTGGATCATGGTGATGGTTGCAAAACTCCATAAACATATAAAAAATCACATAATTGTACACTTACAACAAGAGAATTTTATGGTATGTCAAATATGCTGCTATTGAACTATTTTAAAATATATCCAATAAGATGCAGACTGTCACAGCACAAATCTTTTTTAGATGTCTGTTGGTGAACATATGCACTTGTTTTTCTTAGGTACAAAGCTAGGAACAGAAATTGCTCATTCAAAAGGAAAGCAAATATTTAGCTTCAGTAGAAACTGCCTTAAATTTTGGCAAAGTGGTTAAACACATTTACACTCCCACTAACCATGTCTAAAATTTTCAGCTATTTTACTTCCTCACCAACAGTTGGTACTGTCAATTTTTAAAATTTTTAGCCATCCTGTTGGTTATGGTGAGGTATTCTGGTATGGCCTGAATTTGCATTTGCTTGGTCAAGGATGAGATTGAACACATCTTCATATATGTATTGACTATTTGGGTATCTTTTTAGGTGAAGTGCCTGTTCAAGATTTCTGTTCGTTTTAAATGTTTTCCATCTCTTTCTTGCTTTCTATAAGTTCTTCACTATGGATATCTTTGTTAGACATATATATAAATTGTGGTAGGAGAATAGCTCAACAGTGAAGCACTCACCCAGCATGCACAAGGCTCTAGGGTGGATCCCCAGCCATGCCAAATGAAAAAAATGATATATGAATTACAACCTGCAGTCCCCAATCATAACCTGCATTTTCTCTTAGTGACACTTTTTGTATTCAGAGGCCCATAAGAAGTACAATGTATCAGTATTTTCTTTTAGATTTAGTGCTTTGATGTCCTAAGAACTCTGCTTATCTCAAAGTCATGAAGATATTCCCCTATGTTTTCTTTTGGAAAATTTATTGCAGTGCCTTTCACATTTAAGTCTTTGGAGTTTTGTTTTTGTTGTTTGTTTATTTGTATGTTGTTTTTGGTGCTGAGATCAAACCCAGGGCCTTGGGCATGCTAAGCATTTTTTCTACCCCTGAGCTATACTCCAGCCRCCATAATTGAATCCTTGATCAGTAATCAAACTCATTTTTACATGTGGAATCAAGGTTTGTTTATTTTCCCATGAAGATGTCCACTTGATAAAGCACTGCTTATTGATCAAATTATTTTCCTACTGAATTGCAATGGTACCATGGCTATAAATCAGGTAGCCATATTATGTATGAGTCTATCTCTGGACCCTCTTGTGTTCCACTGTTGTTTTAGCTTTCAGAAATGATACCATCTTAGTTATTGAACCTTTATAGTAATCTTGAGCTAGGGAGCATTTTTATACACAATTTGTTTTAGAACTTTATATAGACTCTTCCAAGAGAAACAAATACCAAAATTAACTATGTCAAGTCTTTTGTGTTATCATATGTATTGTGAAGAAAATATTGCTAGAGTGAAAAACCTGAATATTTTCCACAACACCAAACCTACCAAATCTACATGATCACTTTATTAACTACAGAAACCTGTTCAGCTTCACAATGAAAAAAACCTACCTGTGTAATGTAGATGGTGTCTTTAAATTGACGTAAGGGGTCTGAGCTTTGGGGCAGTGTGAAATGAAGTCCAGCCTGATACAGCATTTCATCGTTGCCATGTTGATGATGTTGTCGATGAAAGGAAAAATTGCTCTTGTAAAACCAGTCCTTTTCAGATGAGACCTTTTGAATAAAAAAGGAGAGTTACAGATTGAGAAGTTAGTGGTAAAACTGCTTCTCTGTGAGCTCCTGACAAACCTGGAAAGCACTCTACACTATGGGAAAGTGCCTAGGCTTTGCTCTGTGACTTTAATTTCATAAATGTTTTTGTCATCATGCTTGTTATTGGGAAAAACTATCCTTGTGCAAAGTAGAATCATAAAACTAGAATTTGACACTTAAAATCTCCCTTATTCTAACCTAGAAAGTATGTCTTGGTATCTCTCCCCCAAAACACTGCCTTATCAAAAYATATTTCTGGTTTTTAAAACATTAATTATGTATATTTTAGAATATTATTTCATCTACTTAGGTAAACATCATTTTATGTTATTATTTTATCAAAACAGAATAATAAACTATAATCAACAGATTTAACAGAAATTGTCACAGTCCTTAAAGAGGAATATTGTAATACCACTATTACAATTGTAAATGTTTTAAATGTTTTAGAGCTTGATCTCATTACTTATTCACTCCTCAGTGATTGCAAAGCAAAACTGGTAAACATGTATTGAATCTTGATAAAGACACAAACCAAACAATGACACACCTCTCCTCTAAAAATCAGTATTTTGTTAAGGCCTCTCCATAAACAGTGTGGGAACAACTAGCTACCCACATGCAAAAAGTAAATCTAAACACCTACCTCATACACACAGAACAAAATCACTCACAACAAGTCATAGACCTAAATGCTAAAGCTATAACATTTCTAGATGATAATATAGGTGTAAACCTTTGTCATTTGGATTTCTTAGCTATAACACCAAAACCTCAAGAGATTGGTAAGTAGAACTTCATTAAAACTAAAAGCTTTTTTTGTACTTTAAGTGTTCCCATCAAGTTAGTAAAATGATAACTCACACATTGGGAGAAAATATTTGCAAATCATATATCTGATTTAAAGAAAACCCATAATATAAAATCTCATAATGTAATAAAAGAAAGACAAATAACTCAATTTAAAAATGAACAAAGAATGTGAATGTATATTTCTCAAAGGAAGATATACAATGAAAAGAGGCTCTCTGGGCTCGGTGGCACAAGCCTGTAATCCCAGTCGCTCAGGAGGCTGAGACAGGAGGATCATGAGTTCAAAGCCAGCCTCAGTAAGGGCTACTCAGTGAGACCCTGTCTTTAAATAAAATACAAAATAGGGCTGGGGATGTGGCTCAGCAGTTGAGTGCCCCTGGGTTCAATCCCAGGTACAAAAAAAAAAAAAAAAAGAAAGAAAGAAAGAAAGAGACGAAACTCAACAAAGTCAACATCAAAGAAATGCAAATTTTCTGTAAATGTATATTTCCAAGAAATGTTAAAAAAAATGGAAAATAACAGGTATTGGCAAGGATGCAGAAAAATCGCAGCCCTCATACATTGTTGGTAGGGATGTAAAATGGGGCAGTCACCACAGAAAATAACTTGTTAGTTCCTCAGAATATTATACACAATAGGGCTGGGGATGTGGCTCAGCAGTTGAGTGCCCCTGGGTTCAATCCTAGGTAAAAAAAAAAAAAAAAAAAAAAAGAAAGAAAGAAAGAGACGAAACTCAACAAAGTCAACATCAAAGAAATGCAAATTTTCTGTAAATGTATATTTCCAAGAAATGTTAAAAAAAATGGAAAATAACAGGTATTGGCAAGGATGCAGAAAAATCGCAGCCCTCATACATTGTTGGTAGGGATGTAAAATGGGGCAGTCACCACAGAAAATAACTTGTTAGTTCCTCAGAATATTATACACTGAGTTATCATATGACTCAGCAATTCTACTCATAGGTACATACCCAGTACAATCAAAAATGGGTTGACACAGAAACATGTGCAGAACCATTCATGCCAGCATTATTCATAATAGCCAAAAGATGAAAATGATACAAATGTCCACTAACAGAGAAACAGGTAAGCCAAATACGGAAAATCCATATAACAGAATACTATTCAGCAATAAAAGAGTAATGACATACCAATACATGATACAATACGGATGAACCTTGAAAACATTATGGTAAGTCAAAGAAGCCAGTCTCAAAAGACCACATATTGTTTAACTCCAATTATATTAATTGTGCAGAATAGATTAATCTATAGACATAGACAATAGATTGGTGGTGCCTAAGGCTGGGGTAGGAGAGAGACAAGACAGTGGAGAGTGGCTGTTAATGGATTCAGGGTTGCTTTTAAATGATGAAAGTGTTCTAAAATTGGATTGTGGTAATGATTTCAGAACTCTGAACATATTGAAGACCACTTAATTGTGCACATAAAAGTAATAGGAGTTAATCTCCAAAATGATAATTTTAAGAACTTAGCTGGTTAAGTTAAAATAAAGGTTAAAGAAAAAATGATTCTTTTCTTCTATTCATAATATGTAAATTGTATAGCAAGGAATTAAATCTCAGTAAAGATCTTTTTTAAGAGTGAAATATTTTCCTGCAAACTGAATATATGTGTTATTGTATGTATATTCAGATTATTAGTGGCCTTATCCCTTGTCTTAAATATAGAAATAATCTTAACTATTGTTGGTGTACACATTTATTCAGATATTTGTCATTATAATCATTTATTAGATATTTTGTCAATATAATGATAAATGTGTTCTTTTAAAAAAAATAGTTCATTTTTTAAAATATTTTTTTAAAAAAAGAACGCATACAAATCTGAAACAGAATCTTTAGGAACAGARAGCATGGAAATCCATACTGAAAATCAAATATACTTGCATGACAAAAGAGGAGAATGAAATGGGAAAGGAGGAGAAAAAAACTTAAAACTTAATAACATTAGACCAAGATTTATTTATCACACTCACCTTTCTTACTGTAGTGAAATATCTAGTTCTGAATCTCTATAAATGATAAAACAGCTATAGGATTAGAGAAAGAACAAGTAAGAGATACTTTCATGTGCAAGAAGAATTCAGACTTCAGCAACCACCAGTTTTCATTTAACTTTCAAATGCTCCTAAAAGAACATAACTAAAACTGATACGTAAAAACAAATCCCACCATTTTTTAWAATTATAATRCACCAATTAAAAATGCAGGAATATGTGAAAATTAAACAAAAAATACACAAAAATTAAGATACAGAAAAGTTATAATCTCCAAAATGATGATTATAAGAATTTAGCTGTCCAAAAGTTGAAGGAAAAAAGTATTTTTCTTCCATCTTCTTCCTAAACTTTCATTTAAATAAGTAGATTTGACCCTCTGAAGCACTGATCAAAAGCAACATTTGCCCATAGTCTACTCTCCTGAATCACCGTAAATCAAACAAATGATGGCTTACCGTCTGTAATGTACTGAAGGAAGGCCAGGACTGATATCCATACTCAGAGACGAATCTAGCTTTTGGGAAAACTTTCCAATCCCAGCAATCACTATGATAGTCATAAAAATGGACATCACCAAAATTCTTGCTGTTAGGGTCATGAGAGACCCAGCCTTCTGCAATGGATTTGGCTCCATTTGAAGGACTAGACGTTACAAAAGGACGACTCTTGTCCCGCTGAGTACAGAGATAAATTGGTTTTAAAGATAATAATTTCATTTGATAAAGTACAGATCATTTATTCTTTAAAAATACTATCAAGACCCAGAAATATCGAGTAACTGATAGAAATTTAACAGGAAGATTTACCTCCTTCCCCTACAGTACCACTCTACTTTTCCCAATCCTCTGTATCCCTTTATAATTACATTTAACCTCATCCCTCACAACAGCTCTTCCTAATCTTTTCAATCACACTTCGCCTCCACTCTTATTTAGCACAGGTAGCATATAGTTGAGCACAGAGTTTATCAACTTTGGCACTATCGACATTTGGACTGGATATGTTGTGGAGATGTATGTGGAGGTGGGGGAGGTCTCATGCATTATAGGATACAGCAGCATCTCTGGCCTCCACCCACTAGAGGCCAGTAGTTCCTATTCCCACCCCCCACCCCCCCCAAAATGTCTACAGACATTGCCAAAGGCTCCCTAGGGGCAGAATCACCTGCACCTAGCACCTCAGGTTAAGAACAAAATCTGATGAGTCAAACGCAATTGTATTTTAATCCCAAACCAGGATCTTAGTATGTGGGGACATGTCTAATGCTCAGTACTCCTACCTATAAAATGAGGATAATGACAAACCCTTTTCATAGAGATACTATAAACAGTAAACCATTTATATGTGGATGAAATGACCAAGTGTCTACCAAAAATTATGTTCTCATTTCCATAATATAGAGCTGCCACTGGGAAGTGGCCTCCTAGTCTCACCATATCTGAATGAGGCCATGTGCCTCATCTTCATCCTTTTCCACCATTGTTGGGCAAGGGCCTAGGAGGTGGTATGACTGGAATACGGAAGAAGCCTGGACTTCTAGAAGACAGCTGCCTGCCAATCGGGAGTAGCCCTTTTACAGCACTTGTGAGTAAAAAATGAAGTTTTCTCATGTAAGCCACTGAAACACTGTGCTGACTTGCTACAGTAGCTGCCAGGGGAGTACCTAATGTGGTACCTAGCACACAGATAGAGCTCAAAATGTGTAGCTACTATCATCTCAATGGATGAGTTCACTTTCTATTTCATTGAGAAGATTCATCCATGAAGTACCATTTGGTCAAGTATTCATTGCGTATGAGACATTTCTTGGCTCTGCAGAAAGAGAATTCATTTTGTCAAGTACTGATACGTCAAAGCTCTTTTGAGCTCTTTTTATGTGCCAGGCCTATAGTCCTTTGTCTTGGAGGTTCAGCAGGAACAGACATGGTGACTGGCCTCCTAGAATAATGGTCTGCAACCTAGAGGTGAAACTAGAAACTAAACAAGTAACTAATTATAAGTGTGATGAGTATTTTGAAGGAAAGGTTCAGGGCTCTTGGGAAATCTAAAACATTGTAGAAGGTTAGTAAGGCTTCCTTGAACAACATTCAGAAAATAGTTTTCTCAATTTTTATCTGGTAGGCCACATTTTTTGGTATATCCATTCATAGTTTTTCCTTATTTGTTTTCTGACATAGAAAGAAATCTAACTACTTTTCTTTGCCAGCCTGTCTTCTGATCATTTTTCAATTTCACTTTGGTTCTATAGCCAATAAATTATTCTCCACTCTTTTTTTTTCTTTTTCTTTCTTTCTTTTTTTTTTTTTTTGGTGATGGGGGGTGGGTACCAGCAGTTGAACTCAAGGGCACTTGACCACTGAGCCACATCCCCAACCCTATTTTGTATTTTATTAGAGACAGAGTCTCACTGAGTTACTTAACGCCTCACTAAATTGCTGAGGCTGGCTTTGAACTCATGATCCTCCTGCCTCAGCCTCCTGAGCCACTGGGATTACAAGTTTGTGCCACCATACCTGGCTTCCACTCTTTTTTTTAAAAAAAATAAATCTCTCTTCACTGCCTTTTTCCTTCAGCTTCCTTAGGCCTCCTCTTGTCCTAATAAAAAGTTTCCTTCATCCCTTGTAGTCCCTCAGATTTCTCTACAACTCACTTATTCTTCAACCCCTGATATTCAAGTCTTGATCATTCCACTCCACTGAAATTGTTTTCAAAAACTACCCATGAACTCTTACTCATCAAATAAAACATTCCTTTCAATCCCTAAGTAGCCCCTCTCTGGTATGAAAAGATGACCCTATCTACCTCCTGTTATTCCTGAAGCTCTCTCCATCCCTGGCTGCTCGTTCACTCCTCTTTCACATCCTAGTTTCTTCCAACCTTCTGATTCTTCCTTCTCAAGCTAACCTCTCCATTCTCAGGTGGAAACCACTCTCCTTTTAACCTTTCCTTGTTCTACTCCCTCTCCCAAGGCACCTCCTCTCATCAGTGCTCTGATTACTCCCAGCTTCACCTCCACACATGACCTTGTATTCACTTCCATGGTTACATTACCAATAACCAGCTCCCCATCTCCACCTGCCTTGTCTGGCCAACATTTCAAATCCACCTTTTCAAAACAGAATCCCTTATTAACTAAACCAAACATTCAACTGTGCTTCCTACTTTGATTACTGGTACCCAAGTAGGACTCTCTCCTTTTCTCTTTCAATTCCTACATTCAGTCACTCTGAATAGCACCAACTCTACATTAAAATATTTTCCATCACCTAATTTCCAGTTCCCTGTCACTAGACTCCATTCCTAGGACCTCTTTAACCTTGTGCATTGAATCTCTCTAACTCCACTCCCAGTCATCATTTCTAAAATAAATACATTAGTTACATTCTACAGTGCTTTTAAAAATTAAATACATAAATTATATGAAGGATTATATAATTAACATATTAATATGTGATAGCATCAGCTAACATAATTATTATAATTAGTGTATTAATGTCTGGCATATAACACATTCCCAGTAACTTGGAGTTCTCAGTTATTGTAACTGATATATTCTAGGAAAATCTGAGTCAGATAAAGTTCATCCTCTCTCCCCAGATGTTCACTAGCTTGCTGTTTTCTACGGAATAAAGTCGTCCAGTATCTTAAAGTGACTCAAAGTCCTTCTATGACCTCCTTCCAGGCAGTCTTTTCTATCTTTGTCTCCCCCACATAAATCCAGGACAAATCCACACGAATCTTTCTAGTGCTAGACACTGCTTCCTGTTTCCTAAACGTACATACCACACACTTCCACATCTTTTTGTCTTTATTCATATTGTTTTAATGGCCTAAAATACCTACTGGACAGCCCTTGGCCTCAAAATTCTACTCCACCTTTAAGGTTTAGTTTGGATCTCACCTTTTACTTGAAAGCCTTCTCAGATTCTGCCAGTTAAAATTAGTGGCTCTTTCAAATAGTTTTCAGCATTTTGGAACTACGTTCTTTTATAGCACTTCTTTCACCTGTAAAACTGGTGGTTTTTTTTGTTTGTTTGGTTGGTTTTTGTTTTTTCCTGTTTCCTACCGATGACACAGCTTGATTAATCAAGCTTCATGAGATTAGGAGTATCCCCTCAGGGCTGGGGTTGTGGCTCAGTGGTAGAGTACTTGCCTTGAATGTGTGACGCACTGGGTTCGATCTTTAGCATCACATATAAATAAAAAAAATAAAGGTCCATCAACAATTTAAAAAATAAATAAAATTTCAAAAAAAAAAAAAGAGTATCGTCTCAGCATTGGGAATGAGGCTTTGCTCCTGGTAATAGGTATTCAGCACTCATTTGTTGACTTACAATATTACAAGGATGGTGAGATTATAATTCAAGTAATCTTGATTTTTTTTCTTTCTTTCTCTCTCTCTCTCTCTCTTTTTTTTTTTTGTACCAGGAATTGAACTCAGGGGCACTTAACCACTGAATCACTTCCCCTCCCACCTTTTTATTTTTTATTTTGAGAGAGGGTCTTACTAGGTTGCTTGAGGCCTTGCTAATTTGCTGAAACCGGCCTTGAACTTGCAATCCTTCTGCCTCAGCCTCCTGAGTTGCTAGAATTACAGGCATGTGCCACTCAGATTCTTGAACAATTTGATAAACAGAGCCAGTGAGTAAAATTACTACTGGGCTTCTGCCTAAAAATATCTGCTTTGATGATGTATTATAAGTTGCCCCCACTTACAAATCAGTTATTACTGAGGCGTGTTTTTTTTTTTTCCTCCAAATTCACAGATGATCTCCCTCTAGGTCATGATCTTGAATGCTTACTTAGACCATCAGACATCGTAAGATAAAGAGAAAAGGCATGAACAGAATGTGTGATGTCCAAAGGAAACTAATCATTACAGTGTAAATGGGTCATTTATAGCAGTTCTTACATATCTTATGTTTGATAGAAATAAAACAGTAATTACTATATAGCATTTAGTTCTGTCCATCTTCAAAGAAGTTTTCAGATATCAATTATGACTCACAACTCATTTTAGGACAAGTTAATCCTTGTGGGAAAGGCATTATATTTCCAATTCAGAGGTGAAGAAGAGATACACAGATGCTCACTTTTCTAAGATTAAGCAATTTCCCCAAGACAATAAGTGACCCAGACAGAATTTTGAGTATTAGTGCTTAACCACTATACTATAAGATCCATTTATTGGGGCTGGAGTTATAGCTCAGCCGTAGAGTGCTTCCCTCGCACATGTGAGGTACTAGGTTCCTCAGCACCACGTAAAAATAAATAAAGATATTGTGTCCATCTTAAAAAAAAAATCTTAAAAAAATCCACTTCTTATAAACATAATTACTGTGAGTAATAAGATTATAAGGGCTGGGGATGTGGCTCAAGCGGTAGCGCGCTCGCCTGGCATGCGTGCGGCCCGGGTTCGATCCTCAGCACCACATACCAACAAAGATGTTGTGTCCGCCGAGAACTAAAAAATAAATAATAAAAATTCTCTCTCTCTCTCTCCTCTCTCACTCTCTCTTAAAAAAAAAAAAAGATTATAAAATAATGGTCTACAAATATCAATTTAAACTTATACCATCACATTTTGTAGAATAGAAAAGTTCTTCATGACACATATTTAATATATCAAGTAAACCATAAATTTGAACCTATGTTTTTCATAAGTGCTCACTTAAGTTTCTTATCATAAATGGGATACTGGGCATATTAAAATGCTAATATGATATACCATTTAAAAAATATATCCTTTTTCAGATTACTTCAGGACATATTATAAGTATAGATACAAAATTATAAAGGCAACCAGGTTATTGAGTCACATGTTAAACATTAAAGTTTAAAAAAATAAAAAAAACTCTTAAAAACATTCTTGAAAGAATGCTGCCACCTCCTCCCACAAAAAAGGCCAACTTCTATTAACATATGCCTATATAATATGCCTATTGGACAAACAGTGGTCTAAATAGAACCATCATAGAGGAAGGGCTCTACGATGAGACTGGGAATAAGATCTTGCCTCTCCTTGTACCCTTAAATCACATACCAACATATTCATATATGATATATACCAAATTCTGTGTTAACATTGTGAATACAGAATTTTAGACTGGGCATGTCAATAAATCATCTAATCTAGAGATTCTAAATGTATAGGGATCCATGGATAGACTCCAAAGAGTCAGTGACAACCAGAAATTTGTCATAGTTTTGTTTGTTTGTTTTAGGGCAGTGTGAAACTCAGGGACTCACACTCACTAGGCAAGCACACTCTACCACTGAGCTATATCCCCAACCTCAGGCACCTGCAACTTGCAAACACCCTACAGGGTACATGTAAAGGGTTCCATGGACAAGTTTATCCTCAAATAAGTCTACATTCAATCCACAAATGTTTTCATACGCTTCAGAATTACAATGAAATATTCTGTATTCAAGTGATACTACTTTTTAAAATACTACAGCTCTAAAAGGGGGCATAAAATATATTGTACCAATATTCAAACATTCATTTAAAAAAATCTTCAATTCTCTTGCATTATAAGCCACTACTTACTGACAAGACAATCTTTCTGATGTTTGACACATAGAGTGCCACATAGTCTTGTATGTAGACTGGTAGATCAGTTATTTTCACATTATACCAATTCATCATCAGTGCTATTTCATTTTCATTATTGCCACTCCATACGATGATAGAGGGATGAGACTTCAGTCTCCTGACCTGAAATGTAAGAAAACTTAAAAACAATCTTCCAATACTTAACATAAAAGACTCAGAGCTATAATTATTCAGAAAATTATACCTACTGCATTTTGGCACACAAATTCTTCTGTGCCAGGGAACTCATTAGAAAATTGTCAGTCATGTTAGCTGAGGGAATACATTTTAAGAATTCTCTGAGATTCTTTGTGTCTAGATTTAGTACGCACTGATAAGGTAGTAATCTTTTCTCTCTGCCGTACAAAACCTGAAGAAAATATAATCCTTTTTTAAAAAACGAAAGCAGATAAAGAAATAGACCTGATCATTATCTGAATTGCCACGAAAAGGTTCCAAGAATCACAAAAGGCAAGAGACATTACATTACAGGGGTTAGTTCTCAGGAGCAAGCTGAAGTTTTGTGTGAAGAAACAAATGAAGCAGACCAAGCACTATCACTGCAAGAGGGACAGAGGTTCTCCTGCTGCCTCTTAAGAATAACTAGAAGAGAGAACTCAGGCTACAAACACAAAGTGAGGCTGAGGAGATAGAAATGTTCATGACCCTGATTTGATCAGTATATATTGTACACTTGGATTGAGATATCACACTGTGCCCCATAAATATGTACAATTATTATGTTAATAAAAAATATTCTTAAAGGTTTAAGGAAATGGAAATGCTAACCACCCTGATTTGATCATTACACGCTGCATACGTTCATCAAATTATCATATTGTTCCCCATAAATTTGTATAATAAAAAATAATTTTTTAAGTTAAGAAACCCAGAAGGAGAACTAGAGAAGATGATACAAAGAGAGTGAGTACTAGAGGGATTCTGGAAGTAAAAGACATGCAGGTGGAAAACAGGTTAGAGAATGTCTCCTGAAAGAGCTCCCAATGTCATGTATTACGACATCAACTAAGGTTTAATAAGCTACTGAATATACCTAAGTACAAAAGAAGACGTCAGAGAGTCTGTCTGAAAATCCTGCCAGCTGGGAGCAATAGGGCCAGTAGGAGCTGGGCCCACCTGGGCCAGCCCTAAGTAAAGGCAAAAGGATCCAGATCTGTTATGCTAAGGACAGACATGAGCATGCCTCTGTCTTCTGAAATACTGGGCCATGTGCCCCAGCATAGGTAGGCACTTTGATATCCTTGAAAATGAGAATGAGTCGATGGTCAAGAGAAATTCCTCAGAAATATGTTTTGACACTACTACCTTATTGATATAAAACCTTCTCTTTCACTGTGATGGACCATTACCACAAGAAGCTGTGAAACTCAGATAAATGTAACAGCAGCATAGTGTATATCAAAGGGATGTGCTTCATTTAAAGAAAAAATTAAAAGCTTTGTGTTTTCTAAAGTAACTCTGTAAACAGTACAGCATTTTCCCTTTTTGCAACAGTACATGTTGCAAAGTGAGAGCTGCTATCAACTGTGACAGGCAGATTTACGATGCTGATGAAAACACACACACACACACACAAAATCCCAAAGAGACAAAAAGCTTCCATGACTCAGTGTCACACACACCCTTCCACTGACTTTTATGGTAAGTCTTACCCCTAAAATTTTAACAAGCTTTACCTAAAATGGTTCTCCTTTCTTTAATAAAACAAAAAGAACTGAAGGTACATAGATGTTATAGCTTGTATAACTATGATTAATATTTTAAAAGTTATTCATGCATGCATGCATCCATCCAGCTATCCATTCAATGAATAATCCTGCCAGGGAGAAGGGATATAGAGGAAAACCAGCCACAGGCCTCAGGGAGGTGACAATCTTACAGGGGCAACAAAACCCTGAACAAGTGTGTGTGTGAATCACCAAGGGCAAATGAGGGTGTCCTAATCTAGATTTAAGGATTTAGAAGGGTTTTTCCCAGAGAAAGTTATGCTCAAAGTAAGAAGGGCCCAATGAGGTGGTCCACCGGGAAGGGGAGGAGAGATGTGGTAAGACACAGAGAGGAAGAGGAAGATAGTGTTTGAAGAGGCTGGAGACAGGGCAGGGACAGAATCCCCCATGCTGAAGATCTTTAATTTTACCCTGAGAGCAACAGGAAGCCTCTGGAGGGCTCTTAGCAAGCAAAGGATGCAACATGCACTTTTTAAACCTTTAATTTAAAAATGAAACAGCCACAGAAAACAATCCTGATGTAATGAATCAGGCTATTACCCTTATAACCATTGCCCAGACTAAGCAGCAAACTCTCCCCCAGAGCCCTCCATATACCTCTTCCTAGTCATAGACCCTTCCTCCTGACAAAGTAAGCTCTATCTTGAGTGTTACAGTAGTCATTTCCGTGCCTTTATGGTTTTCCACCGAATACATCTGCAGATATCATCTTATAAACAGATTTTTAATATATTGAATGGATTTCAATCCATTGACATTCTTATCCTTTTTGAATCTCAAATTTTCCTACTTTTGATTAGTTAGAGTCTCTTCAAAGTCCTTTTGACTTTGATAACTTCCTTGTTATCTGTATGTCAAGATAGACCAGGATCAAGATTCTGAGCAGGAGTGTGGTACCACTCAATGCGTGTCAGAAGGATGACCTTGGCACTTCTGCTGAGAATTCACTCACACTGGGAGAGATCCATGCTAAAGAGGCTAACTAGAAAACAAATGCCAACTGTAGAGAAGAGAAAAAATGAGGATTTGAACTAGTGTAGAAAGCTGAGAAGTATAAATACTGTACACATTTACATATATTATGCCATTTAATCTTCAAAATGGCTTTATGAGAACAATAAAATCATACCTGCTTTACAGACTTCGAGATTGGGGCTCAAGCAGTAAATCAACCTCCCTACAGTGGCAGGTTGACTATTAAAGAAGAAACCAAAACACTTATTCTTTGTATATCACCATTGCAAAAGAAAAGAAAATCTAGAAGACAATTGGACATGAGAAGCTGAAAACAGAGTCAGAAATAACCCATAGTATCTTTACCTGAAGTTACTGAAAAATATATATGTTTCCTCCTTTGAGGAAAACAGAGCATGATAAAATCTACTCAGTATGTCTGTATAGTCTTGTAAAATCTAGAAAGTAGACGTGATCTCCTAATCTAGTGATCATCTTTTGTGAATACCAGTGGACCACTCCAGCGAATGTTTCAGTAGTATTTGGTAGTATTATATGTATAATAATATGTTAGCCAAATATATTCACAAGTTAGTTCTTAGCTATGTGGGGAGTACAAGTTCAAGCTCTGTTCATTTGGATAAAGGGGAGTACATTATGATTCAGAATTTTCTTATATTGCCAAGAATGCCACACTGAGTTTACATAGCAACTTACGATCCAGGAGATAGGTAAAGTAATGTAAACTGTGTTTCAAAGCATAATCACCCCCTCAACAGATCTTCCTGCAAAAAATAAGTATATTCAGCATGTGACTGATCAACCTCCAATCTGTGGCGGAAATTATCGGTTGATGACATTATAATAGACAGCATTCTTTTAAAAAAGAGAGAGAGAGCGATTCCAGGATAATTAGATATTTCTGCTCCAGACCTCAAATCAGCCATTTCTCTAGGATGCTTTGCCCTATCTTTCACAGTACTGGAGATTAAACCCAGAACCTTGGTATGGTATGGTATGGTATGGTACCTTAGGTTGGTATGGAAGTGCTCTACCACCGGGCTATACCCCAGTCCAACATTAAGACATTTTCATCTTTTTCTTCTCTTTCTCCTCTGCCTTTTTTTTTTTTTTCTTTTAAGACAGGGTCTCACTGTGCTGTAGCTGTGCAACTGGCTTTGAATTCCTGGGTTCAAGCAGTCCTCCTGTTTCAACGTCCCAAGTAACTAGAACTATAGGAGCATACCATTGTGCCAGCAGCCACCTTTCTCTTTTATAGAAAAGATTATTTCAATACAAGGATTCTTGATGCTACCAGGCTGGCTACTGTTCGTAGGCCTTTTCAGTGGACAGAGCTAGTATATTATCACTTCCTTGCATTTCTGTATCTATAAGTGTAAGTGTGTATATGTGGAATACAAAAGAAATCAGAGTCAATTATTTTCAATTTTTGGAATTGAATGGAGCAATTCAAAAAATGACAACATTTGCTGAGGCAGGAAAAACTGCAGAAGCAAGACTAGGGGAAAGGATATAAGTTTGGTCTGGACATGTTACATTTGAGATGCCTCTAAAACTTCCAATCAGAGGCACAGGTAGACAGCAAAAAAACTTAGCACAGGGCATAAATCTGAGAGTTGTCAGCAAATAGGCAGTGTTAAAGTCATGACTGGGTGGTCCACCCAGGGACTCGATTATCTGACTGATTTTTCACAGGATTTAATAAGGAACAACAAAATGAAATGGGGAGAGAAATTTACAAAAGGCAAAACTAAAACAGTAGTAATAACATACCTGGTGAGCAACTTCTTTTGCCACTGAATACATGAAGCTCTGTTCATTTGGATAAAGGGCACAGGCAAACATAAAATCCTGCCACACCTAGCAAATAAAAGGCAATAAAGTACTTCTGTAAATTAGATCACACAGGAAAAAAAAAAAGTCTTCAGTTTGAACTTGGGGGGTTATCCTTCATATAAATGAGAAATCAGGTTGGCTGATGAATGTGACCCTTGGAGCCCTGCTGTGCCTAAAAGCACATAGGAGAGGCTCTGGCACATCTAGGACTTTTCAGAGCTCCACAAAAGTTGTCAAAAACCTTAAAAGAGAAAATGTTAGGAAGGTAGGAAAAAAAAAAGAGAATACAAAAGAGGAAATAATACACGTTGGGGGAAAACAAAATGAAGCTTTCCCAAAATTCTTCTAATTCCTCTTTTTCATTTTCATCAAAAATTTGAGATACTCCATGGTTAAAAGAGGGATACTCTGTGATTAAAAACCAGACTTTACTTATAAAGGAATTAATGTTTGATGGCCAAGAGGATTACTACATGCCCACTTTAATATTGGAACCATGAAGGCTGCATGACGAAGTGGTTAAAAGCCCAATCCCAAAGCCATTTGCCTTACTCAGAACTTTGATTCTACTATACACAGGCAATTGCATTTGATCAAGGTGTATAACCTCTCCATGTGTCAGTGTCCTTATCTGTAAATGTGGGTAGAGAATAATAGCAAATACCTCACTGGTTGGGTATGAAGATAGAATAAAATAATACATGCAGAGCACTTAGACCAATGCCTGGCACTCAGTGCATATTACAGAATATTGTCATCAATATCATTATCATTATTATTATGTCCTACTCTTCTATGAAGTTCTGTATATCAGATAACTGTAATATTAGAACTGAAACTATATACACTTAGCCCTCCATATTTATGGATTCTATATCTAGGGATTCAGCCAACTACCAACCAAAAATGTTTTTAAAAAATCATATCTATACTGAATATGTACAGACTTTTTGTTTTTGTCTTTATTCCCTAACCAATCTAGTGTGACAACTATTTATATAGCACTCACATTGTATTTGGTATTATAAGATCAGAGACATGTCAAAGTATATAGGAGGACGTGTACAGGTTATATGCAAATACTCCACTACTTTATATATTCGGAACCTGGAGTATTTGTGGATTTTAGTATCCGTAGGATTCTGGAATCAGTACCCCACAGACACCAAGGGATGATTGCATTTCCTTTGCTTTCACTCACCATTGCAAGACCTGCTGACAGTACTTCCATAACAACATTAATTTTATTATTTTTTTAAAAATATTTTATTTTTTAGTTGTAGTTGGACACAATACCTTTATTTCACTTATTTATTTTTGTATGTGGTGCTGAGGATTAAACCCAGGGTCTTGCACGTGCAAGGCAAGTGCTCTACGGCTGAGCCACAACCCCAGCCCTATTATTTTGCTTCTCTCTGGGACTCGTGAGTGCTCCTTAAAGTTAAATTATTTAAATATTTTATTTTATCAAGCATGCTTACATATGACAAAGAAAATATACATAGATACATACATAGATATAACCAAAATATATAATACTTATTATTTTAAAATAATTAGGTAATCTTTATATTTGCCATCAACAATGGCTCTGGGTTTACAAGATGTCATGTACTCCTTTGGCCAAAAATGGAACATTATACCAGGCTCTGAAAAAAGAGGTAAGGAGTAATAATATCCACTCAGAACACTGGAAGACAAACTGAGGACAGAGTAACCTATCAATATATAAAAATGCCATCAACTACTCACCATTATCCCTAGTTCATCACAGAGTTCATAGAACTTATCCTGCTCATAAACGCCTCCTCCCCACACCCGAAGAACATTCATGTTAGCATCCACAACAGACTGCAAAAGGAGCCGTAACCTTGAGGAGAAATGGTAGAATGTAATTTAATTTAGATACTTTGGAATATTAAGAAAAAAATTAAAAAATATTTTTAAATCTCTGTCAGAAAAACACACCTTAAAATTGCAATAATTTGGATATAAATCTAAATAAAGAAAGTGAAGTAAATATTTACTTCTAGATAATATATAATTTACATGTAACCACATAAAACAAACAAACTTTGAAAAATATGGTCATCTTTCCTTTCTAAATATTCAGTAATGTTACACTATTTTTTAAAGCTAATTTTTGTTTTGTATTTATTCCTACAGAAAAAATTGCAATGTAAAACTTAGAAAGTTCACTTATTTTTATATTGCACACAATTTATTATATTGCAATTGCCATTGCAAACAGCAAAACAAAAATCAAAGCTTGAATATTATTGCCTCACTCACCCTGATCTTTTTAAAAATTCTTTCAGCCTTATACTCCTTTGTGCAGTAAATATCCTTTCTACTTTATCCAAATTCTTTTTCACTCTACCCTCTGGAAAATCTAGAAATTTACAGCCAGTTGGAGAGCATGGCCCTTCCCTCCAGCCCCAGAACACTGCTCCGGAATGAATTGGAAAGCCAAAGAACAGGCTGGTCCCTTTAAACTCTGCTCTCAACATCCCCTGCAGGCTGACAAAAATTGGCCCAGTTGTGCTAAACAGAAAGGGCAAATCAGTAGGAGGAGAAAGGAAAAAATACAGCAAATTATTCCACGCTGCATCTGAAGGAGCATTTCATTGTCTTATAAAATCTAAAATAAAACACACATTTTAAAGTAAAAGAAAATCACAGTAAGTATTATAAAACTGAGGATTTAGCTACTAGTGATATTTACATTCTAAACATCAAATAACATACTACAAGGCAGACTTATACATTTGTAAATATGCTGAGCTATTATTTAATTTAAGGCAAAAAAAAAAGTGTTTATTTTCCCTTCACAAAGTTTATTTTCACTATCGCAAAGATAGTTTATACAACCAATTGGGAAATATTATTGTCTTCTAAAGTTCTACTCTCAAACCCTTCAGAAAAACACTCCGGGTTTTTTCCTAGATGTAGATTTTTTACGATTTTTGTTTGTTTGTTTGTTTTCTTTTCTTTTAAATAAGTTGTATTATATATTTAAGTTATACAATATGATGTTATGGGATATGTACAGATAATAAAAAAGCTACTATGGCAAAACAAATTAACATAGCCATCATTTCACATAGTCACCCATTTTTCTTGTTTTAGTGGCAAGAGCAGCAAAAATATACTCATTTAACATGAGCCCACAAATGGTCCAATTCTATTTCCCATGGTCCACATGTTGTCCAACAAATCTCCAGACCTGTTCCTCCCACATACCTCCTGCTATGAATCCCTGACCCATAGCTCTCCATTTCCTCCCCAACCAAGATTTAGTTCTTTTATTAAGGTAAAAGTGAAAGAATATTATCTTAGCACAAAAATAAAAGTATGGATTGCTATCTGTTAAAACCATTCTTAAAAATACTTAAGGTTATTATTTGAATAACTGAAAAAAAAAAGTCAAATATGATAATTTTTTTTCTGGGACTCACAATCCAAAATATGAAGCTGCCATTTTCTTGTTTATCTGGGGTAAATATATAATAGTTTTCTAAAATTGGATGGCTAAAGTAGTCTCTATCTATAGCTCAGGAGATTGGAATATTTGATTTAAAAGTCTGCCCATTCTAAAGTTTCTGTCATCCCGGAATTCTATACTACCTCTCAGTTCTTCCTGAGACCAAAAAAAAGTGGAAGTGAGTCACTCTTAAGCTTTTTGAGACAGTTAATAAAAAAGGAACAAAAAAAGAAGGCCAATACTCACAAGTCAGAAGTTACTCTATCCTGGAAAGAATCTGGTGGAATCCAGTTGGAGCCTTTCAGAAATATGGGAAGTCCATTAATCTTAAAGTAGAAACTCAGACCACGAGATCCTTTTATGGGCTCTTCTATAAGTTCTACTGTTCTAAAATAAACCTGTCATGAACAATTCAATATTGCATATTGAATCAGACACATACACAAAATTTGTTTTTTTAAAAAAATAAACATGCTTCTTAAACAGATTTTAATGTAATCAGCTTTTAATGTAAATTTTCCTATTTGCTACAAAACAATTAATGTGAAAATATAAATTTCAGTAAATATATTAGTCTGTTATTTCTCTTGAAAAAGAAAAATACAAAAACAAAGAGCAAAATACATTGAGTCTTCCTCATGGAATGGGCTTTTATGATTATGTAAGAACAAAAGCAAATTTGAACATAGCATTTCATAATTAAAACAAAAATTGATGCTTTTTCACAAAAGTAGGAAAAAAGTACCTTCAGTCAAACTAACACATCTTCAACTGAAAAACACATTCTCATTTCAGTGTTATTAAAATGTGCCAAAATGTGTATCTTGGAATCAAAGGGAAAAAAGCATACGCACTTTATAATTTTACAACTTTCCAATCTTAATAGCACACTACTATAAAAAAATCACTTTGTTTAATGGGCAATTTCATCCTAATTATCACATTAAACTCAATGTTTGACAGAGCTCTGGAATCTCAACTGGAGCTGTCTGGGATACATTCATTGGAAGAAGATCTTACAGGAGCACACACTTCAGTGCTATCATTGCTACAGGAGAGGAGGAGACTGTGTTCCTCAAACAGTCTAGCCAGATTTTCCCAGTTAGTTATGGGCAACAAGGCCTAGAAAAGCTCTGCTATTCTCATCAAAATCTTCATTTTTACCATCCATAAACTGGATCAAGGAATGAGTGACATTGTTGTTTACCAATAAAGCCTAGCCTTGAATCAAAATTAGGCACTTCTCAGGGCTGGGGTTATGGTTCAGTGGCAGAGTGCTTGCCTAGCATGTGTGAGGCACTGGGTTCAATCCTCAGCACCACATATAAATAAATAAAAAATAAAGGCACATCAACAACTAATTTTTTTAATTTTTTAAAAAAATTATACACTTCTCAAATTAAAAAAAAATCAGTCAGTGTATTTCGTGTAGTGTCAGTGTCTACATTCATTCATCCTTCTACTTTCTTATCTTTGCCCTTATTTAGAAGACAAGACAAAAGAAATCAGAATTAATTTCATGAGAAGACACAGAACATGACCTGGATCAGCAGAATCTTGACATGGAATTGCCATACCTGCTTTAGAGTGGTGAAGAAGTCACCATGGTTTTTAGAGACCACTTTTTGATGGTGAGCTCAACTTTCTAGAAGAGTAGTTCTTTAAGAATGGTCTCTTAGAACCTTTCAGGGGTCCTGAGGCTCTGAATTATTGGCAAAATAAAAGTTAAAACCCTATTTGCCTTTTTCTCTCTTATTCTTTCCTGAGTGTGAGTGGAATTTCCTAGGGATGATTGTTTTAGTCAACTTTTTCACTGCTGTAACCAAAAGACCTGACAAGAACAATTTTAGAGGAGTAAAAGCCTTTTGGGGGGCTCACAGTTTCAGAGATCTCAGTCCATAGACAAACAATCTCTCCAGGAACAAATATATACGCCAAAGGCACACAGCCCCAGTGAGCCACCTCCTCCAGCTACACCCCACCCACCTGCCTATAGTTACCACCTAGTTAATCTCTATCAGTGGATTAATGCACTGATTAGGTTAAGGTTTTCATAACCCAATCATTTCACCTCTAAATTTCTTGCATTGTCTCACACAAGAGCTTTAGGGGTATACCTCATATCTAAATCATAATAATGATGTGAGATGACATCCTCACTGGCAGCTAATGTATATATGTACTTTGTATATTCTGTATGCTATTTTTTTTTAGAGAGAGAGAGAGAGAGAGAGAGAGAGAATTTTTAATATTTATATTTTAGTTCTCGGCGGACACAACATCTTTGTTGGTATGTGGTGCTGAGGATGGAACCCGGGCCGCACGCATGCCAGGCGAGCGCACTACCGCTTGAGCCACATCCCCAGCCCTATTTTTTGGTTCTTCCTTTGTTTCTTTTGTGGTGCTGAGTTCTGAACCCCCGGGCCTTGCACATGTTAGGTAAGCACTCTACCACTAAGCTACATTCTCAGCCCTGTGGACTCTACTTCTAAAGCATAGGTTTTGGGTTTAAAGAAGTGCTTTTTGAAAGATTTACTCAGTTTGTTCTCAGTACTTTTACTGTGCTCTTTCTAGCTCTCTTTGATTATTTCTGTTATAATCTCTGTAAAATGTCTCTAACTGTTCAACAAATCTTTATTATGAATCCCACAGTTTCCCTCACAACCTTCACAGAAACATAAGACTGGATCCTCTTTGTTAGTTTTATTCACAGTGATATTTTTTTAAGTTTTTAAATCAAATATTAATTTTTAAATTAAAACTCATTTTAGAGTTTAATAATATTTATCTCATTCTAAGAGAAAATTGAATTACAATGTATATTTTCCTAATGTAAGGATGAATTGTTAAAATAAGATTAGAAGGTTTAAATTCTCCACCTCTAACTGTACTGTCTGCATCTAAAAGTGCAGGGAAAAAAAATGAAACTGACATAAGAGAGTCTTTTGACTTGTGGGGTTGCGGGGAGAATCTACTCCAAGGAAACTGAGTAACATTATAAATAACAAATGAAAATTATTATGATAGTCATCTTTCCCTCATCCTTAGAGATTTTTTTTTAAAGGAACAATAAGCATTGGATAAGACAAATGTTGTACAACCTGAAGAAAATGACTTATAGCAGAAGCTGTAAGGGCCACACATATGGACTGCCCACCCTTGGAGACTCCACAGATCTCAAAAATGCAGATGGAATTTCATCACCATAAATAAACGCTAATGGAGGATGTAAATTATTGTTGTTGAGTTATATACTGCAAAAGTAAAATCAATATGTCATTAGCTAGGACCTGAAAACCAAGATTTAATTGTCAAGCAAGGTGAATCTGCACGGCTAGCTCAGTGGCCACCCCAGCTCCACTCACATTGATTTTATTTATTAGTGAAGAATTACTTTTTCATTACACATATAATACACAATTTTTCATGTCTCTGGTTGCACACAAAGTCACACCATTCATGTCTTCATATATGTACTTAGGATAATGATGTTCATCTCATTATCTTTAGAGATTTTTAACAAGTTACTTTATTGTATCTTATGCAATGCACCACCTTTTTAAAAAAGAAAAAGAAATCAAATACCTTAAACTTAGACATGATAAGCTTTTTATAAGCCAAATACTATTTGTTACATCTTTTCAAATCAGTGATGAAAAAGGCTATAGTCTCTATTGTATAGAGTTCCTGGTGCTGCAGTGGCTGGAGAAGTACACGTGTTCGGTTTCTGAGTGCCTCCAAGATGAAAAGTCAATGAAAAAAACCTCAGCATCACCATTTTGTAATGACACAGTAACACGTTCAATTAAAAGATCTAGCTGCAATATGAAGATTGAGTTGATATTGGAAAAATCATACTTTTGCTTTACAAAAGGGTGAACTTCCTGGCATTGATGAACTTGCTATTTTGCATGTGTTTGTCTGTTATCAGACAAATAAATTATCAAAGAAGATATTTTATGTGAATTTTTAACACCAAAGTAGAAGAGGTGTTGAAATACTCAGAGTACTGAATATTGTTTTTTTAATCTCAAGGTTATAGTGCAACTTCTGTGTTAGCATTTGCACAGGCATTAAAATGCAGAGGGTAACACTGCAGATCCCTTAGCAGAAATCAAAGCAGCAGCTCCAAACTGTGTTAGTTGTCATTATTTCCTTCACCTTCAAGCATTAGCAGAAAAAAAGTGCCAGTGTCACTTCAGATAAAGCAGCAAAAATTGTCAATCTTATTAAATATCAAGGCTGATTACACATCATTTTAATATCCTATGTGATGAAAAGAGAAATACCACGAAGGACAAACATCTTGAGGAAAAACATCTGGGCCATTTTTTGAGTAGTGAGCTCTGTCAGTCATCTCGTTATAAAACTCCATTTTTACTAGAAAAAAGGACTAACGGATGACCTATGGCTGTTCTGACATGGATTCCTGGCAGGCATTTTCTTGAAAGGGAATGAGTGAGTCTGTCACTTCAAAGAGGACAACTGGCAATATTTGTGGACAATGATAAAACTCAAACTTTCAAGTGAAAAAACAGGATTTAGAAAAGCTTGTATCCATTACCCTGAGCTTGAGAGCATTTGATACTTAAAGATTTTCCAGGTGACATCAGTGAAGATATTAACAAATATGAATGTGATTCTGGAAAATGAAATTGTTTCAACATTTGGAAGATTTATAATTTCTCAGGAAACCAACAATTTTTAAATAACCAATGTATTATATTACAGTATCATACATGAGTAAGGAATCCATTAAAACTGCAAGATAGACCAATGGATTTTAATGTAATAGAATGAAAATTTCTTTGAAATGGCTTCAGAGTTGCAACCAACCTTTAAGAAACTATCACCTGTTGCCGGGCACAGTGGTGCATGCCTGTAATCTCAATGGCTCAGAAAACTGAGAGGCAGGATGATCATAGTTTCAAAGTCAGTCTCAGCAACTTAGTAAGGCCCTAAGCAACTTAGCAAGACTCTGTCTCAAAAAAGAAAATTTTAAAAAAAGGCCTGGGGATGTGGCTCAGTGATAAGTAGCCTGAGGCCTGAGGTTCAATTTCTAGTACCAAGCACACACACAAAAAACTACCACTTATTAAGTTCTAGTATAGTACCAAAGAATATCCACAATTATCTGAAAAGATTATTAAAGCACTCTTCCTTTTTACAACTACATGTCTGTGTAAGGTCAGATTCTCTTCATGTTTCAACCAGAAGAACATATTGAAAATTGAACGCAGGTGCAGATAAGAATCTAGCTGCCTTTATTAAAATATTAAAGACATTTGCAAATATATAAAACAATTTCATTATTCACATCAAATTTTTGGTTTTGTAAATATATTTACATTTCATAAAATAAGTCAGATAAACTCACATATCATGACTTATTGTGGTG